AATATTCTATATTATTCTCTCAATTTTGTTACTATCAAGTATCAATTATCAACTACGAAGTATCAAGTGATAACTTTTAAGTTTCAACTTTCAAATATTTGGGCAAATTTTTTGGAGCAACTTTCAAGCTTCAAATTAATTCGTCAAGTATTTGGAACAATATTTTGGGCAATTTCTTCAAGTTTCAATATTTAATCACGGTGCACTCGTTCCATCTCCTAATTTTAATATATAATTTTTGCGTATCATTTTAGTGCTTAGTTTTTGTGTTTACTTTACGTGTTATATTTTCGTATTTCATTTGTGTGTTTAATATTTGTGTTAGCTTTTTTAATTTAATTTCGTATTTAAATTATGGCACCTAAAAATATATTTGGTATTTAAAAAAGAAGCAGTAAAAAAAAATAGTAAAGGTGAAAGTAGTAGTAATCCTAATCCTAACCCTTCTCCTACACCTAGAATTAGAAAGCATATTGATGAAATGACTCATGCTGATGAAACTTCATTTTCCAACCCCTCACATTTTATTATGTTCATGTCGGAGAACAATTAGATCATGAAACATTACAAAGACAATTTGACAATGATATTTTTTTTGAGGATGAAGAAAATGAGGATGAAGAAAATGAGGAAGAAGAATTAGATGAAACACCCACTAGTCCCGCAACACAAGCTCCAACTCAGAGTCAATCTCAGTCTGGAGCTTTACCCCNAGGATGAAGAAAATGAGGAAGAAGAATTAGATGAAACACCCACTAGTCCCGCAACACAAGCTCCAACTCAGAGTCAATCTCAGTCTGGAGCGTACCCCCTGTACCCCCTGTAAGGGGTAAGCCTAAGGCTGAACGTCCCAAAACATCACTTGTATGTAAATTTTTTAAACATGATAAAATCAATCATCGTGCTATATGTAAAAAAATATAAGCAAGTATTTGCACACACAACAAGTGATGGGACGGGAGGTTTGAGTAGACACTTATTAAGGGATCACAAATCTTTATGGATACAAGCTAACATAGAAGCCGGAAAAATTATAGATCCTACCATCACTACTGACACTCCTAGTGGATCTGGTTCTAATCAAATTCAACAACAACTTGACCCTGCTTATGGTCATGTTTTACGCAAATATAACAAAGATAGAGATCGTAAGAACTTAGTAAAAATGGTGGTTGTTTGTGCCTTACCTTTTACTTTCCCTTCTCACCCTGCTTTTGTGCATTATGTACAAGAAACTTATAACCATGCTTTTCAAGGTTTTCCTAAGACCACGATTAGAAATGATGTTTTTAAATTTCAAACCGAATATCTTCAGTATATGCGTTGTGTATGTTTTCACTTAGATTGTAAAGTGTCTATCACATCCGATATAGGTCGTAGTCCTAATGGTTGTGATTATTTAACTATTACATGTCATTGGGTTGATCATCATTGGAACTTGCAAAAATGTATTATTGGTTATAAATTTGTTGATTCAAAATACAATGGAGCATATATTGCAACTACTGTTCTAAAAATACTTCATTTTTATGGACTCATTAATAAAGTTTTAACTATCACCTTAGATAATGCTTCTGGTAATACAACCACAACAAATAGCTTAAAATCTAGACTTTGTCCAATTAATCCAATAATTTTTCATGTTAGATGTGCATGCCATATTTTTAACTTGGTTGTAAAAGATGGTCTTAATTTATTTTCTGATGCTTGTAGTAAAATACAACATGCTTGTGGCTATATTTTTCGTACTCATAAACAAAGTAGAATTCGTGAATTTGCTCAACAATGTGCTAGTGCTAACCTTCCATTTAGAAAAGTTCCAAAAGATGTTTGTACTAGGTGGAATTCTACTTATGAAATGCTTAAAGTTGCTTATGATTATCGGGTGCCTATCCAAAAAGTATTTAATATGCATAATGCTCACCNTAGGTGGAATTCTACTTATGAAATGCTTAAACTTACTTATGATTATCGGGTGCCTATCCAAATTAATATGCATAATGCTCACCCAGTTGATCAAATTGTTGATTCTGATTGGGATGAGATCAGATAGCTTACTAAATTTTTAGATAATTTTTATTATGCTACAAAATAATTTTCCGGTATATATTATCCTACTGTTACACAAATATTATGGTATATTTGTGAAATTTTTGTTGTATTCGGTAAGTATAAAACAAATCTAACTTATGCACCGGCCACTAAAGAAATGATTTTAAAATTTAAAAAGTATTTTTTCCCTATTCCCGAAGTTTATTTAATTTCTACTCTACTTAACCCATATTTAAATCTAAGAGGTGCAAAGAGACTTGTTCATAAAATTTATGAGAATTTAGAAGTTCAAGAAAATGAACAACCATCTCTCGAAAACTGCCAAGCTAGCATATATTCTTATGCTAGATCAATGTTTGATAAATATAAATCTATGGATACAACTGGTTGTGAAACTGCTCCTTCTACTTCTAAGTCTAGAGCAGAAGTTTTATGGGAAGATATGGATGATATAACAGGTTTTGATTCCACTATTGATGATGAACTTGATTCTTATCTTAATCAAGAATTGACAAATATTAAAGACGAAGAAGGCAAGGAACAACTTTTGTCATGGTAGATGGAGCATGACAAGGCTTTTCCAACACTTTCAATTATGGCCTGAGATATCCTGGCTATTCAAGCATCATCAGTAGCATCGGAGAGTGCTTTTAGCGCGGCAAGATTTCAAATTGGAGATCATAGACATTCATTAGCGGAGGACAGTCTAGAGATTTCCGTATTATTCAGAGATTGGATTAATTCAGAAAGAAGAAATCTTGGTTTTGAAAAATTAACCATTAGGGAAGAAAAAAAATACAATGAGATACTGACCACTAGGAGCGATGACGGCATGGAGCTCATGGAACATCAATCAACATTGCCAATTCTAGCAGAATGTCCAAAAGATATTATTGATAAGTTACAAAGAAGCTATATAGGAGCTTACAAATATTAGTATGATAATTTATAATTGGCTACTAAGAGGCCTAGTTCAAACAGAACCCTTCCTAGAAGGTGGCTGCATAGATTAGGTGCTCTTTAAATGAATTATTTGTATTTGAAATTTGAAAGTTCTATTAATAAAATAAAAGACTCTAAGCGTTGAATTTTATTTATGAATTGTCTTAGTTACTTAATAGTTAATACTTTGAAATTATATTAAATAACTTATAACTCTATTATAAATTTATAATTACTAGAATATTTTATTACAAGTCTTTTGTTTTAATATTTTATAATTCTTTACTTAGTTTTCTAATTTTCATTTTAACATAGTACATTTAAGTTTATTAAATAAGTCAAAAATCTAGCCGTTGCAAACTTTAAAAACATAGTAATTTTAAAAAAACCAGACATTTTTTTTTTTAAAAAAAAATACACTTAAGGCCCACGAACTCGTCCTGTCCCGTCCCGTTCCGTCCCGTCTTATCCCGTCCAATCCCGTTTGTTAGCGGGACGGGATAGGACGAACGTTTCGTCCCGTTTGTTCCGTTCCGCTACCATCCCGCTTAAATATCGTCCCGTCCCGTCCCGTTGGACAGCCATACCCACCATAAATCGGATTTCCTCTCTTCCACTCCTTCAACGAATCAATCTTGCTATACGTCACCAAAAAGTAAAGTTTTTGGTTATCAAGCACTATGTTGAAGGCTACCTGAACGTACAGTGCATCTCGATGTATACTCACAGTTTATTCTAGGTATATACTTAGTTTGCGTATACAGTATACACTGATTATACCTTTCATAAGTGTATACGACATATACTGTTCGTATACTCAAGTGTGTTTAATATATACATTGAATATTCGATTAGTATACACTAGTATAACTAGGCTACATTTACCTCCGATCGTGAGCGAGCAGTGGCGGACCCAGGATTTTGTGCAAGCGGGTTCAATCTTAGAAATATAAACTTTAGTCGTAAAATAGTAGTTGTCAAGTGAGTTCAAATAAATATTTATATAAAATTTACACAGCTTTTAATCCTAATTTATACATATACACAGTATTATTTTTGGGTGAAGCGGGTTCAGTTGAACCAGCTAACTACCACTTGGGTCCGCCAGAGCGAGCATTGGCCAGAAATGAACCAACGATAAAAAACGACAGAAAATGAAAATGGCGGGACAACCCCATGTCCATGGCATCACAGTCGATGTCTTCCATCGAAAATCACTGCCATGAAGATTTCTACTAGGTTGGGAAGCTTTTTTCGTTGTAATTTCATTTTGAAAGTTTCAAAAGGGCGTAAAGCACACAATATAGAAACCAAATCGTATATGTTTTTAGAACAAAAGAAAGAGATGGAGAGGAGTACTATATTGAAAGTAGAGGAGCAATATATTGAAAGTAGAAAAAAGTAGGGACAAATTGTGAAGAATTTAGCAAACCTCTCAAGTGCCTCTGTGAAACACATATGTTCATCGTAAGATCCATACGCATCGTAGATGTCATCGATAATGGTAGCCAAGGCAATTACTTTAGCGAGCATTCTTCTAGCNGATTACTTTAGCGAGCATTCTTCTTGCAATAGCAAATTTTGGCTCGAAATACACTCCCAATGCCCAAAAATAGCTCTCTACTAATCGATCTCATGCAAAAGGACATTTGGTTACAATATCCAAATCTTTCCACCACCTAAATCCAAAGTAAATTCTGATAAATAAATAAAAAGCAATATACTATTGCGAGGTAAAAATATTTTATATTTTCAATTTAAATATAGTGATTGTGTCCTGATCAAATAGCGAGTGTATTATATTGTCGCACATTTTTTCATAAAAAAATAATAATTATGTACCTTGTAATAGAAGTTAGCTCCTTCCTATGCACCTTTTGCAACAAGTTAAAATACAACTTTGCAAATTCCAATAATAGTTCATTCTTTGTGTCATAACTTTGGTACGTAGATAGGAATTTCCTTGCTTCTACCCTTGTTAAGCTCATATGGATTGGCTGATTTAGGGCATGCATTACTTGTACCCTAAAGGAATCACTCAAGATAGGAATCATTGGTTTTAGATGATTTGATATGAAGACTAATGCTTCCTCGAGAATATCCTCTCCATGGACTCGCATATGTGCAGCTTCATACAAACTTACCATTGCTGGCACGTTACTCGTCAATGCCTTGTCAAAATTTCTTTCTTTGTCCTTGAACTTTTTGAACACATCTGTTTACACCATATTAACCATTCAAAAATCTATTAACCGATATGAAATGAAACTCCTACAGTCTTAGATATGATGTATAATAAAATAAATTAGGAAAAAAAATGAATTAATAGTGTCACATAATTTATAAATGTACTCGCAAGATTAAATCTGAAAGAACTAAACGATAGAATAAAAATACTTTGCCCTTCCTGTTCAGGGGTGGAGCCACAATGTTGATTGCGGGTTTGGTTGAACCCAGTAATTTTTGTTCAAACCCTTTATTTGTACTAAAAAATATAATGAATATATACAAATTATTAATTTACAATCCAGTAATTTAAAAAGATTCCATAAAGTTCAAATCCTAGCTCCACCTCTGTTCCTGTCATACTTATTACTATAAATTAGACCTATGGCAACGATCATAAAACCTCTGCCATATTACAGAAAATCCGTCGCAACAGCTTTATTGCAATCGTTTCGCGCCCGTCTCATTCTTCATCGTTGCAATAAGGCTAATGTAGCGGTTTTAATGCAACAATTCTATAACCGTTGCAATAGGGTATTAGTTATTGCAATGCTTGTGTGAGGATATTATAGCGAGGCTAGTGCAACTGTTTATATAAGCTGTTGCAACAATTTTCAGATTTAAATCGCAATAATTATTTACGTATATAACAATGTACATAAAAACAAAATGTATATTTTCTCCCTCCCAATTTATATAATGTTGTGTGACTAAGCATAAAATTTAAGAATAAAAGAAACGCTTTTGAAAACTTATGGTCTAAAACAAACCATAAATATTGGTGTGACTACACATTATCTCAGTAAGAATATAATGAGAAGTTTAAAGTTAAATTATTCTAAATTTATAAATAAATCATTCTGTTTTGGACAGACTAAAAAGAAAAAAAATCATATACATTAAAATAGAGAGAGTAATATGGGGCATTTGCATCTATACCCACTACTTGTGCCCGCTTTGCAAAAAATATTGCAAGCGTACCCGCTTTTTCGCATAACTTCAGCATAAGGGGCTGAAGTAGCAAAGACAGTCGCGCAAAACTTCAGCATTCTAGTAGCCGGGCCTGAAGTTCAGCTCTAGAGCTGAAGTTTTTGTTTTGTAACTGTCAAACTTCAGCTTTAGAGCTAAAGTTTTTGTTTGTAACTGGCGAAGTTTTTGTTTGTAAGCTTCAGCTCTAGAGCTGAAGTTTTTATTTTTTTAACTATCGAACTTCAGCTCTAGAGCTGAAGTTTTTGTTTGTAAGCTTCCGCTCTAGAGCTGAAGTTTTTGTTTGTTTAACTGGCGAAGAGCTAAAGTTCCAAGACTGCAACTGCATAGCTGTAACTCAACAGTATTATCCATGAGTGCGTGGAAGATAAGAAATGACTGGACAAGAAAATATACAACACTATTAGTATGGGAAAACGAATGGTATCCAAAATCTGCTGGGGGTTTCAATATTATTGTTATGATTGGATGGGCATCGACTTCTTTTTCATTCGTCAATGTTGCTTTTTGTTAATAAACTAGTCCAGACCAACCAAGGCAACAATGTTACCACAAGGTACATCCTCAACAGTTTCCTGCTTCTTACTCATCCAGATAAGAGTTCACACTGACGAAGAAAACAAGTTACACTAGAAAAGTAACACGAGAAGCCTAGATTTCTGGCAGTTTTGTACAGAGATGTATTAGTGGTTTTAACTATAGTCAAACTTATACATAGCCGTAACAGATTTTTTGGAGAAAAGGGAGAAGGAGAAGTTTGAGAAAGAAGAGGCGGATATAACTTTAAGGAGGAGAAGGAGAAGGAGGAGGAGACCAAATAGGACAATTTTTGAAATTGTTTAAAAATTGGGTACAAGTTAAAAAATTTTAAAAAAATGGGTATAGGTTAAATGGGGGCGACCAAATAGGACGCCCCGTGCAATTTTTACGAGTATTATTTCTAATTAACAATTCACAAGGAAACATAATTTCCCGACATACTTCTTAATCTAAACCACGTTCCCCCATTTCTCTTAAGAAAACCAATTTTGGACCAAATTGAACCTTAAATACTACTCCTCTGTCTCATATTAATAGTCATGGTTATTAAAAATAATTGTCTCAAATTATTTGTTATTTTAGAAGTTCAAGATAAAATTGATTTTTTTTCTTTTTTACCCTTAGTAATAATTATTCTTGAAGATGAAGATAATACATAAATAGAATAAATATTCAATAAATAGAAATTTTATCTTAAGACATAAATAAGAAAATAATAGTTATTTTTTTTCTAATTAATATTTCTTAAGGGACGTGAAAAAGAAAGACACGAAAGGAGGGAGTATATGATATATTCGGACACATATAGGCGGGCTACAATTAATATTTTTAATGATGTCGGATACTTTCCTCCCCTTGCACGCTCATGGTTGAACATCTAGACCGTAGAGTAATATAGTATGGGTGATCAAATATTGTATAGCCGCCCTATGCCAAAGATATATTAATTTAGCTCCGAAACCATGTGAAGAATAATGGACACTAAGCCACACATTAAAGACTATAGTTCAACATATGAAGATTATATAGTCAAAGATCATGTACATAAATAGTTCATTATTGGTATAATTACTCAACTATTGGAAACTTTGGAGCAAAGTCATTTTTCTTTCTATTGTAATAAGAAAGTCATACAACTATTTATATTGCACACTAATAATTACTCAATCAAACTTTTTAATATTTCTGATGGAAAAAACTGACATGGCAGTCCACATGGACTTTTTATATTTTTGTCCACATAAATAATTATCACCCAAACAAAAAATAAATCTAACCTGATCCATTAAAAGTAAACCCACCAGAAATAGACCTTACTCCTAAACGTATTTCTCTTCCAAAACCCTTGTACCCATTACTTTTTTATAAAACTATCATCTTCTTCTCTCAAGCAGATGAACTTTTCAAGGTTTCTCTAATCAAATATTGAACCTTTCAGCATAAAAAAATAGTTACTTAATAAGAGAAGTTATTTAGTTACCTGGTATATCATAGTCCAATTAATACCATTTATAAAGTAAGAGTATTCGTGACTCATTTGATTCCCTCAATATGGTTTTGGTTCAAATATTGTATCTCTTATTCTCTTATTTTTTTTCTTCTTAAAATACTAATGGGTATGAGGTAGAGCAACATGATGTTTCTACATAAAAGGAGTAAGACAATATTTCTTTTAAAAAATAGGATGGGACTGCAATAAATAAAGTATAATGTAAGATTAAGCAAATGAAAAAAAAATAAGGAAAAACAGTAACTGATTTTATTAGTACGATGTGTTACAAAGTCCGATGATTCAAGCCTAGAAGAAAAGAGTGATATAAAATAATAATAGGTCCAAGAGTTTTTGAAAGTATTTAGGAGTAAAAGTTTACTTCGGGTGGTATTACCTTTAATGTTCAAGTTGGATTAATTTTTGTTTGGATGATAATTATTTTACGTGAAAAAAATATAAAAAGTCCATGTAGATTGCCAAATCAATTTTTTTCACCTAAAATATTAAGAAATTCAATTGAGTAATCATCAGAGTGCAATAAGGATAGTTGAATGACTTTTCTTGTTGCAAATAAAAGAAAAGTGACTTTAATCCATAATTTTCGATAGTTCAGCGATCATTTAAGTAATGGACTCTATATACGAAGACTACAATTCATTACTTATAATTCAATAATCTTAATTTAAATAATTCTGAATGATGAAGTTGAGAACATGGTTATAGCATGTTTGGCCAAGAGTTTTTGGGCCAAAAATATTTTTTTATAGTTAAAAGTGATTTTACCGAAAATTGAGGTGTTTGAACAAACTTTTGGAAGGAAAAAAGTGTTTTTGAAGAGAAGCAAAATCAGTTTTGGAGAAACAGAAAAAAGTAGTTTCTCTTCGATAACACTTTTTTAAACAGTACGTTTGAGAAAAATATACTTAGAATCAGTTTTTAAAAGATTGGTCAAATACTAATTGCTGCTCAAAAGTGATTTTCGAATTAATTAGCCAAACATAAACTGCTTCTCACAAAAAAATACTTTTGAAAAACGCGCTTTTAAAAAAAAAACACTAAACTGATTGTTGTAACTTGGCGAAAAAAGCTATTAGTCACTTACCACAAGATACAAAATGGCCTTGTTGTCTTAGTAAACGAAAAACAAGGGCA